TTCTTTTAATTTGTGATTTTAGAGAAACAACCACCTACCTCGCTAATTTTCCCACCTTGTACATGTTTTAGGCAATCTGCAAAATGCCTGATGAGTTATTCAATCTGACAATTAAAGGTGTGTATTTTCCATATTGACCAGACAGTGTCAGCAGTGCCTAATTTTGTGGAAGTTTATGGTACGGTGTGTAAGCAAGAAATATTTCTGGAGAAGATAAATAAATAAATATAACAAAGTGTTTCTACCATTTGACGAAAAACAAAACATCACTAATTAATATTCTGAGAGTGCACACTATCAACTCAACTTAACAAGAGAATAACAGAAACTAACCAAATACTTGCTTATTTCTACACAAAAATATTTGGTCAGTTGTTGTTGAGTTGAGTGAAGATACAACTTGGTAACAATAGATTCTTTTGAAACATTTAGCGCTTTCTCAAATACTACCGATTAAAAAAGCGGCATGTACAATTATTTCTATGTATTGTATTTATTTATTTGTATTTGTTTAAAAATTGGTTTATATTGTTTTTTATTTTTAACATAAACACCTTTAATATGTAATTCCTAATTTTTATTCTGCTAAAATAAATTTCTGCCCTTTTTCCGAGTATCATACCGGGACGCTTTTGCTACACTATTTTCAGTGTTGGTGGTGTTAGTACTACCTGCACTCTATAAAAAAAATATGTTTGTAATGAAATCAATACCAGACAATGAAAGTGTCTTAAGTATTCGTTGGGACGCTCTGTAGCCCTTTGCATACCTAATGAGCTTTTATTACCACACACCTTTCTGAAACAGACTTTAATAAGCGTCCGTTAAAAACTTTTCTTGAGCAAACGGGCGAGCGACGCAAAATATTTTATCCCTTTTTCCTGCTTGACACGAATACAAATAAACGCACCGGTTACATTTCCAGGGATAATATTTAAATTTGAGAAAATGGCATTGCCGGGGAGGATCGTATCCGGGCGTCCCCGCAAAATAAATACAGGCAAAGCAGTTTAGTTAGTTTAGCAAATGGGGCGAGTGTTTTGACAAGAGAGTCTTCCATACCGTTAGACGGATATCAGGGCTCGATTACGACGATAAAATTATAAAATAACCATCTCTAGACGGAAATCGAATAACAAATCGAGAGAAAATTTTGATTTCGTTTGTTATCCTTTCCTTTCGACGAATATTTCCCGGACTGGATACCTTAGCCGCTATTTTTCTCATAGAATATCACCCTTATACATATTTATCGATCGAATTGAAAATACGTATAGAACAACAGTCGCAGAGGGATAGCTCGTTTACATTCACAGTCTTACAATATAATAAATAGCATTTTATGTCCACCAATCACCACCAATAAAGGAAATACAAGAATTGGTTTGAAAAATTTGAACTAAAAATATACACTATGTGGCCCCAAAGTCCTCACCATATGGAAACATTTTTTATTAATAAGTTTTAGCAAATTTTGATATAGGGGTAGTTTGGCATCAAAAATAATAAATAAATCATTTTAAAATTTCAAACATTTCCCTGTCAAAATTGACATATTTTTATAAAAAACATTTAGTTTATTTTTAATTATTGGTGCAGCATACCTTAAAGCAATAGGAATCAAACTACTTAGATGGAAGGGTTTTCTTATCGTAAATATTTAGTTCATTTCATTACGATGCAAAGAAGTAACTGATTCAAAAAAGGAATTAACCTCTTTGAATTGAAATAACATCGACTAAACTTTATTGGGTTTCAATGTGTTAAATAAAAATTAACTTTGACGATTTCTATAGGTGAATTTGAAGATTTGCTTTGAAATCAATTATTTATTACCACATATATTTAAAGGAAAACACAGTATTCAGTCTATAGCCTGATTCCTATTTATTTTAATTAGGACGTACCAAAAAATAGTTAGGTAAAAAAAGTTCTTTTTCTACTAAAAGTTTTCGATATTTTAGAAATAACCTAATTTTTTAGTATTTTTTATAAATGTATTTTTTTCTTATTTTGGTTAGCGACACTGTATATAGAAATATAATACGCACATAATACTTGTACCTATCAAATAAGGGCAATATTCAGTTTTCAATACTTGAAAAAGGATATTTAAAAATAAGAAAGGAATAAAAAAGCAATAAAGCAACGATGTGTTAGTTATATGCGTAATAAATAGAAGAACAAAAGTTACGTCATTATCGCACATTTTTTCTGAAAATATATGAATTCCATTTCCAAAGTTCTTAAAAACATGGCATAAATAATGTATATTAGATCTTGTTAGAATGTCACTGTCCTACGGTCCTCCAAACAAACTAAGCAAAACAAACCAAATCCTTCCTAGAGACAATTTTGCGGAGACAGTAACGTCATCATCCGAGTTGATCAAAATAACAAAGGGAGCATTTAAATATGTTGGAGCTCAGTGCATAGTGACTATTATGTTATAGTACGACGAACTATTGCTTCGAAAATCTTTTTGCTGCACTAGCATCAAATTTAGTAAAACCATAATGCAGATTTACGATGTTTGGCTTTAGAACTGATTCGTGTTAAAAGAAACAACCTTTGGAATGCCAAAGGTGGAACTAACACAGCGGCAAACCGGAGTGTTAAAGATTAAACTTACTTGCAATATGAAATCTGCATTCTACCCGCAGCAAGAGATTTAAACCGTCTTCAACTAGAAACTAGAGTGTAAAAGGAAATAATTGTTACATGTAAACTAACATAGGTTAAAACTTCAAATGTTAAATGTTCGGAGGAAATTTATTTAATTTTAATTATAGTAAGTTAGAGGTGGTTTGAGCTGTTGTTTGGGGTCAAAAATACACCTGAAAGAAGAACTACAGAGTTAATCACTAATAACGAGAGTGTGACGTGGTGCTAGAGATCGGCGAGAGTAGAAACTTTAATCGAGACCAGTAGTGTCTCATTGGAAAGCTGTACTTAATAAATACCTGAAACAACAACTAGACGATGCTAGAGTTTTGCCTGCAGTAAAGCCATGGTTTCGAGTGTAACAGCCTTGTTAAAAATTACCGAAGAACATGTTTTTGCTGCTGCAGAACGACGGGAGTTAACTACCTTGGTTCTCTTGGAGTATAGCAAAGCCTTGGACATAACTCGATCACTGTCTGTTAAGTGCTCTTTTCCGTTATCTATTTATCTATTAAACGGAGAGTCAGCAGACAGTTTACTTGAATGGTCGCACATCTCCTCCGAAACCTATATCTTGCGTCGTGTTCCCCAGGGTTCTACTCTCGGACCTATACTTTTAACCCCATATACATTTCCACTAATACTACACTTGCATCTATGCTTTGCTCACTTATATGCTAACACTCAGCTATATATCTGCTTTAAACCCGAAAATATTGCAGATGTCAATAATAAGATTAATTCTAATTTAAGAACTGTGTCTAATATCTTGCGTTGCCGTTGCTTGGACCTAAATCCAGCGAAATCGCAGGTACTCTTTGGAAAAAGGCAATCTAGAAATTTATAATCCAAACATGTTAAGGTTTATCTTAACAACGCTTTACTGGACCTCACTGAATGTCAGCAATTGTATTCGCAAAGGCAAGCAAAGTATGATAGTGGAGTGGCGTAAAAAGTATTGATCATCATATCATATCATCACAAGTATTGATAGGAAATGTCCAGAATATCTCTATAAGAATATCAAATTCCGTTACGATCCTTATAAGTTTTACATTCGTCATAAATTCAGACTCACCACATCTAAACATATTTCTGGTTACTTGCAACATTGGTTTTCATTTGTTATAACTAAATCATGTAACAAAGTCCCACCTAATACTAGACAAATAACTGGTGACAGTTTTAAGAAATTTATTGGACCAAGCAGTCAACATATTCAATGACCTTATGCCCGCTCTGCCGTCCTGTTTGTTATTTGGGCCTTTCCAGCTCTTTCTTTTTCCGTGCTTCTGTTTAACCATTGGTTAATTAAATAAAACAGTAATTAAGATTGAACGGTTACTGGAGTGGCAGTTTTTTTAGAGACAACCTTTAGGTTAATCTTCGCTGTCTGTAATTTCTTGCAATAAAGCATTTTATTATTATTATTATTACTGTTATTATTATTACTATTATTGCTATTATCATTGTTACTATTATTATTATTATTATTATTATTATGGTGAAATAGTCATGTGAGACAATAAAAAAGCTTAAACAATCTAATCTAATTTGTTCATTCAGACAGAATATTAAGGGGATATTGAGTGCTTCATTAGTTTCAAGGATTTTGAGTAAATTCAATTTTACCCATGGAGTATCTCTATGAACAGAAGTTAAGATTCATTTTTTCTGAACTCTTTGTTATTGTGTATAAATTTTTCTAAAAATAAAAAAAATGACAGCAAAAAAGAATGACTTGTAACTTTTTTGAACAACTGAATTTTTTATTGAAACTATAATGGAAGTTTCCAACCAATTGTTATTAATAATTTTTGTTGTTTTAACTAATCCGAAATTGCCACTAAGTTAAAACTACATTTACTTTTTTTTTAATTTTATCCGTTATATCAAAAGATATGTAGTTATAAATGATTTTTGGAATTTTATTGTTTTGGTGTGCGGATAGTATAATAGTATAACGGTGTAACTACTGCATAACATAAAGAAAGTGTTGATAGGGTGCTTTCTACCAAGAATTTATTAATATTCATTTTAATAGGAAAAGTAGTTAACAAAATACTCATCGTTTCATTAAAAAATGGGCTCAAAAGGGTGTAATTAGATAAAATTTCAGATAGTGCTGAATATATGATGTTATTTTTTCCATTTTAAACTAACATTTCTGGAATTCAAATAATTCTAAAAGTAAATTCTCTGCACTTAACTTAAATGGAGTAGTAGAAATTTAAGACAAATATCGGTCATCCACATCGAAAATGTTTCATGATTGATAATCCTTCAATTTTTATTTGTTGCTCTGGACCCTCTCGAGAACACCGGCTAGCACTTACCTCTACTCTCTCCTCTTTGAGATCTACTTTGAGTGCCAGTTGCTCCCTGAGCACAACATCCGGATAGTGGGTTTGTTCAAAGGTCGCTTCTAATTGTTCGAGCTGTTCTTCGCTAAATATTGTTCGATGACGACGTTTTCGCTTGGGAGGTTGATGATGGTGCGTACCGGCAGAGGCCAAAGAAGCAGCTTGAGATGCAGCCGCAAGGGCATGGACGTAACCAGGATAAAGCCCAGGATAAGCCATCGCTGAAAAGAAAACCGGTACGTGAAGCGTAAATTGAATTGTTACGAAATAGAAAATGTCACGAAAAAAGATAAGCGATTTTCTCCACAAGAGAAAGGAAGGGAAACATTTATCTTGGGGAACTTGTAAGCCAAACGTTTTATATTGATACATTTTTTCTCATTTAGCTACATTTACATTGAAAACTTCTGTAATGCAGGTATACACCAGTGAAAATTATCTTTTCCTTGCAACCAAAAGTTATTCAATTATGTGCGCCATAATAAAATCGCCATTAATATGAATTGGGTGTACAACAAACGATTTTTGTATAACTTCTCTCTTGTCTTTCTTGTCTTTCTTCTCTAGAAACCCGAAATCAATTTAAAAAGTTTTATAGAAGATATTATAGGATATTCAACATTTTAGTTATGATTTTTCTACTAAATACTCTAAAATACCCAATTATGCATTGATTAAGCGTGCCAAAAGTGTTACTTTAAAATGTCAACTTCGTTAACCACTATGGCGAACCACATCGGTACACGGATTTGCTCTCCAAAAGATAAGTTTGGATTTATAGAAATTACTAAGAGTCGGACCTGTGCACTGTTGTGCCTTGGTTATGGAAGATGCTTCGCTTTCCCTCAAATGTGATCCGCTACATTACACCGTTTCCATACTTTTTGTACTCCCTGTACCCATATTATTTGTATCAACCCAGTTTAATTAAAATATTATTATATTTAACACAATTTACCGGATTTATTTACTCTATATTAAAGCTTATGGATATAAAACAGGCAGAGCGACGCAAATAATTTAAAGGGAGCGAGGACTTGTTTCAGTTAAAATCGATGGGAATAACCCTCCAGTAAAATATGAAATAATAATATTATGCTTTTTGGCTTCAAGAGCCGTCTGCGGGATATAGGGTGGTGAGAGGGAGGAAAATCCGTTACCCCGGTTGCTTTTTTGCATGCATGACCAAACTAAACTTACGGAAAAGTAAGTTAAAAACTGCGGGATTTTTAAAGTAAGGCGATTTTAATCTTCCGGGAATTTTCTTTAAAAGCTTATTTTATGGTCTTTTGTCGACGGGAAACTTTTCTTTCTGACGTGGACGTCGAGATTTACTTTGAGTAAAAGACTTGAACCCAACTTGATGCTCGAAGGGGGTGCATACAAGAAAAAAGTACTCTATCGATATTCTGGAATTTTTAAAAATTATAGAACTTTCGTTCTGTAAAGCTCAGCCAACCGGAACATACTCGGAAAGTAATAAATTAAGCACTTAGAAAATTACAGTGTGAGCCAATTTTGTTGGTATTCGATGATTTCTAGCATAAAAATGTGTTCAGACGTTCCGGTTATGATTTTCGCCAAAAAATCAAATGTGGAAACCTCATCTTAATAGTGGACTACACGGAGACGCTCAAAAGTCCCTGTAATAGTTTTATTTCTAAAAATTTCGAATTCGATGATATCGCCAGTTAGAGTGAAGGTTTCACATTGCAATTAGATATAAATTAATAAAAAACTAGATATAATTTGATATTTTTCTTATAGAATATATCATTTTGAATGTCTTATTGCTAATATTCCTTGAAAAATTAATTGTAATTCAGGTTTAAAAAAATTGCCATAGAGTGTGTCCGGAAATTAGTGGGCTAAACTATAACAACCGTCCAAAACAAACTCTAGTTTTCTAACACCCTCTAATGGAACCACCACACTAAAGGATGTTTTTTATTAATATTTCCGAAACAGATAGAGAGAAACTTTTGTCTTTTTTTTTGTTATACTGAATCTGATTCTAAAACTATAAATGTCAAGTTTTGGTTAGGTGGGTAAATTTTGAGGAGTACAGGTGACAAAAACTGTAATTACTTGTTTAGGAGCTGACTTTTGTACTTTTTTCTTATAAAATCGGGCAAGTTGTGTTCTGTTACGAGAAAGAGCCTTTGATTGGCTTGACCATAAACTTATGTGGGCCAAATTGAGTTACTACGACTTCGATGATGTTTCGACGCGATTTTTTGAAAACTACTTAGCTAACAGATATTAGAGAGTTACCTATGACAATGTAAGTTCTGAGTTTCTGTCTGTTTCATCAGGTGTACCGCAAGGTTCTGTACTAGGGCCATTATCATTCATAATTTATATTTCTGATATTTATACATTCATCGAATATTTGAATTTGTATTCATTTGCTGATGACACTCAGCTATTTTAGTCCTTCTATCCTAAATTATTTGATATTGCTTCAATTTATATAAATTTGGATTTGTACAACTTATTTCTATATTCTTCTAGGCATAATCTTCAACTTAACGCTATAAAATGCAGTATAATGTTCTTTTCTCCTAAACCTAACATTGAACAAGTATCCCAAATGTTTGAAAATTGTGAATTGTAATAAACACCTTGGTGTTATATTTGATTGTAACTTAAATTCACGGAATATGTATCTTTGTTGGTAGAAAAGTCTGACTTGGTTTAGCACCATTTAGACAGGCATAGAATTGTACTTGAATGTACTGTAATGTGCGTAATAAACTATGGTTTAGTCCTCTATTACCCATGTCTTGATAGTATTAATTAATACAGATTGCAAAAAATTCAAATCAGCTGTTGCAGATTTATTTTCGGCTTGCGTAAATTTGATAGGATTCCCCACAAAATCCAGCAACTTACCTGGATAAAAATTGACAGTACTTTCAAGTACTTTTTGGTGTCTATGTCTATTATTAGAACATCCAACCCGTCCCTACTTACGAGCTAAATTAGAGTTTCGTAATGTTTAGTCAGTGGCCTTAAGGCATCCTAAACGCTCGTTTATCTTTGCTCCGCAGATCATTTTCTTATAACGCTGTGGTAATTTTTAATAGTATACCCCATTCAATTAAATTATTTAAAAAATATTTCATGTTGAAACTGCTAACTTCTCAAATAATTTTATTTTCTCTGTTATTCTTTTTATTTTTACTTTTAATAACTTTCTATTGTTCCATATTACTATTACATTTATCCATTATTCTATATTTAATTTACCAATGTAATTATAACTTCTTATTTAGTTTTCAATTTAAACATTTAAGAGGTTAAATGCAGTAGCTTTTGATAGACTTTGCTTCTTCTCTACTGTATATTTGCATATAACAATATACAACAATAAAGGCAATTTATTATTATTGTTATTATTATTATATATTGCGGACTGTTTTAGAGGAAAATGAATTTCAAAAGTACTCTGTACAGCATATTCATTTTATTTAATTATCCAAATATTGGTTGGAAGAACCAACTTTCAACGTAGGTTTTCTATCAATATTTGGTCAGGTATCATAGGTAATACGTTAATAGATCCCTTTTTACCATTGCCATTTAGTATATTTACTAGTCGCTAACCATTAAGTGCTTATCCGGTTTCTTTCGGACATATTTATTAGGACGAAAGGTCGTATTTATTGTTAATAACTATGAAAATCCATTATCCAAAGCATTCATAAAATGATGTATTTCTAACACAGATTTTTTTATGATTTTGGGTCAAACAATCACATGCGCGTGGAAATGTCACACCTTTCAGTTTATGCTGTGCGATATTTAAGTGTAGCTTAACTATAAAAACAGAACTAGAGAAGAGCTCGACAAGCCTTTATATTAACTAATATAACAGGCAGACATAATATTTTATTTACTTCATTTTTTTATGTTTTTTTAACAATTTGCTGATATAATGATGGATTTAATTTGCAACTTCAGCATTAAATAAGTTTCATACTTATTTATAATTCATTAATGATTAATTTTTATTTAACTTTAAGAATTTATGTTTCCTTTAATTTTTTTATAGTTTATAGTTTAAAATTGCGCGCTAAATGGCAACGAAATTTCTACGGGCGACTTTTTACGCGTTCCCCTTTTTTTGTTTGCCGATAACTTATTTTTCGGGTCGATCGGCAGTCGGTAAAAACCACGCTGTTGGAAAGGTAGTTTTCGCTGTGCTCGTTTCGCTTTAGCTTCATACCATCATACCAAGGGGTACCCCGAAGACGAACCCAGAATACAAGGCAGTTCCGTGGCACCGAGGTGAGTCGCTACAGTTATTTCGTTGCCCCGCTCAGCTTACATAGTTTTCATTTCAAAATTATAATACAGTCCACTTAACCAAGCATTTTGTTAAATAATGCCATTTAGTCATCGAAAGGCTGTCATATACCCCAATTTTAAAAAAATGAATCGATCTGGAAGTAAATTTGTGATAAAGAATAAAAAAGTAGATTTTTAGATTCATATCATAAGTAGGTTTTGACATTGTAGAATGAGAACCGACAATTTTTTTTTGACATAATGACGATATATTCTTTGGGACTTTATTTAAATGTCATTACATTTCGCAAAACGCATAATGTGTTTGTGCGGCACCAAGAAGCTTTTGTTACAAAACTGAGAGCTTTTGAACTCATATAATATTTACCAGTATTTTATTTACTGGTAACGATATGGCAAAGTCAATCAAATGCTGGTGTCTGTTCAAAGACAAAAAAATTTGAAAAACCGAATTTTACACACAATATGGTTTTAAATTTTCTTACGGAATATCAATCGAGATTAAATTATTGAATGTGAAAAATATTCAAGAGTTTCAGATAATTTCCGGGATTATTTTAACAACGTGTGGTATTATAAGTGGAAATAGAAAGAAAAAGAAAAGAAAAATATCTTTCGAATGAACTTAAATTTAAAAAATGACGTCGCAACATTATAAAAGAGTAAAATTCAAGAGAGCTAACAATTGGCCTGATCGTCACTGAAATCCTTCATCCTCTGATTAGACTCCGCTATTTCGATAACAACTCTTTGGTGTGGCTCATTGCCTCTTTGATGTGACTGTTTCCTCCTCTTCTCGACAGAATTTGTCCTGTTGCTTTTCTTTTGTAGTGTAGCAGGTCTGCTGTAAATTTGGCAGATGGATTTCTGAGAAATTCTGTTCTGACCTGTCTCTTCATCATCTCCG